TCGTAGTGAGCTACCATTATAGAATAAGGCATAAAAGTTTATTTTGTAACTCTTTCAAAACTCATCTCCACACAACATATGTGAACCCATCAGATAAGGAGAGGCTAATAGAGAAGAAACGAGGAGGGTTAATAACAAAGAAATGAAGAGGTGCTAGTAATCAAAAGTGGATATTTATTTTGGTATTAAAATTTGATGGTTATGATATTTTTGGGAATAATCATAAGCCGCTTTTATATAGTGTCATAAATAGTATGAATAATCACAAGCCGATTTTCTTTTTGAATATGGGCTTAGCAGACTTGGCTTTGACCCGCTGAACTCAAGGGAGGTGGTCTTGGGGCTTGGCTTGGTCAATTTGACCAAGTCAACCCCTTGACCCAAGGGGTTGAGCCAAAATAAGGTCAACACCTTCCTAAAATAACTAATATCAATTTAAAAAGTGTCTTTTTTTGAAATTAATTATATATTGGAATTTCAAATACTTTTCTCTTTGATAGTCCTTAATTAGAAAGCCTCTCAATTACATAAATCTGAAATTAATTTCATATTTAATTTCAATCTCTAATTAATACATATGGCGCAGCCTTAACCCCACTTAGAACTCCCCATAAATACCCCCTAAACCACTAGCCCCTATAGCCCTATTTGGGATAATTTGGAATTCAAATTATTCATTTTCCCTCTTGAAAAATATGAAATTAACTATAAATTTTGTAATTTACTTCTTCCACATCCTTAGCCATAAACCAAAGGAATCCCCTACTACAACCCAAACTATCCTCCTCCCTTTCTCCCTCTACCCAAACCCGCAAGCAGTCGGCTTCTCACCTCCCTTCCTCCTCAAGTCGTTGGCCCCCTATAAGGATCCCAAGAAAGGAGTCTCACGTATTCATGGATGGTCAATCCTAAAGTCGACCACGATTTTGTGTATGATTCTCAAGGGCAAATTGACATACTTCAATTGCGATTCTTCGATCCTGATTGGTAGCTAGAAGATCCCGTCGACCACTATGTTGACCGCATACTATTCCACCTATCCGAGACTATTGACAAAAAATGATCATTGGACAATGGAAACTCATCGGACATCCACCTACATCTCCTCCTTCGGCTACCTTCCCGTGGATCATGACCATCGACGTCCTATCTCTCTTGTTGGCATCGTTTAGATTGTTGAAAGTCTCTCTACGCTAAAGCTTTTCATAGAGTGTGAGTGAGAGAGGAAACTCTAGCATAAAGTTCTAAATATTAACCCGTGGATTCTTATTATGACATTTTGTTGGCGGAATCTTTGAAATCGAGTTTTGAAAAATAATAGTTTTATTTCGAAATTTAGAATTGACTTTTAGATTCAAATTTAGAGGTCGAATATCCCATTAGAAAAGTCATACCACTTCGAGAAGTCCAAATCTAAAATTACAAATCCTACCTTGAATATCATAACCAGATTAGAGATAGAACCACATATGACCTCGAAAGGCCAAAATGAAGTTCTATCTAAATTCTAGCTATGGTATCCTTAGTAAATTATTGTCGATCTAATGCCCAAAGCCTTATGAACAAATGACATAACTCCCGTAAGGAAAATATATCATTGCTTAATAATTGTTCGGGCATAACGATAACAATCGTTGTTGGTTGAATTTTTCCAAAGAATACTGATTTGAGTTTTAAAATTTTCTTTTGGGAAATTTGGGATTAAGCTTAGTTTTCAATTACGAGATCGAGCAGATTATTAGAGATGATATATCGCCTCTGTGGTGTAGTATGCTCAGGTTAGACTGCTTTTGATCAGTTATTTGCTTGTTTTTCTCTATTTCTCATATTCTCCTCTTATTAGGTTACATGTCTAAGGGAATATCAAGGTGTAAAGGTAGTCTGCTTTTGATCCATACTTCGATTCAATTGCAAGACAGTACAATGATATTGTAAAGGTACATTTATACTCTCAATTAAGGCTATATATATATTCTCTCAATTAAGGCTTCGTTTGGGACGGCTTTCTTACTGCTTCTTAAAGAAGTTTTTTAGTACAAACATTTAAATTTTTATACAAAAAAATTGTCACGACCCGACCCGATGGGG